GGGGGCTCCTCCTGCAGCCCCAGCCCACGCCGGACACCCCTGGCCTCCGTCCTGCTCGGCCATTGCCTCTTGGAGGCCGCGGCGACGTTGCCGCCCGTAGGCCCCGTGCGCGCCGCGTGCGCCCTCTGGTCCCCAGAGCCTCCGGAAAACGACGCCCCGCCTCTCCCTCCATCCCCCCATTCCGAAATGCACGGTTCCCGCCGGGCCGAGGATTTCGGCTGTCGCGGCCCGGTCACATGGCTGGGAGCACAACTCCCAGCGACAGCGTTCCTGCCAAATCCAGTGTCTTTTCCACCAAATCCACTTTCTGCTGGGGATGGCTTTCTGCTTTTCCTGGTCGGTCTCCTCGCGGGACTGGGAGTTCCTCCAAGGCAGGAGCGGGTGTGTGCCCGGCCCCAAGCTGGCCCCAGCCCTCAGTGCAGGGCCTGGCACCAGCCTGGCGCTCACGGAAGAAATGCTCGTTAACAAAGAAGGCATGAATGAATGAAACCAATTGTTGCATGAGGGAGCCCAGGAGGGTGCTGCTTTTTCTCTCATCAGGTCACACACTCCCCCCCCAGACACGCACGAGCACACGTGCATACACAGCCCTCCCCCCAACACACGCAGACAGGCACACACACTGCGTGAATTCCCGGCCTCGTGGAACCGACCTACTACGTGCTTCCGCCGCCTCCATTTCAGTGCCAGCCTCTCTCTACCTCCTTCCACCCCCCCTCCGGGCACCCCGACATCTAAGTACGGTACCTTGCGCCCCAAGTGCCTTCTTTATCCTAGGGAAGAGGCCAAGCCAGTCGCTGGGGAGACTCGAGGTCTGTTTAGGGAGGCACCTGGGGGCCCTCAGGATGGCAAGCCACTGCTGAAGGCGAGCCAGAGGTGCCTGGCAGAGATGTCACCAAATTACTGCAGCCTCTAGAGCCCTCGTGCCAGGTGTTGGGGGTGGTGGTGGGAGGGACTCAGGGATTTGCGGGGGGCTGTTGAGGGCTGTTTGTGATGGGGGCGGGGCAGGGTGCTGGAGAGCGGGAATCCAGCAGGTGTGCATACGTGTTGGGGTGTCTGAGAGCGAGTGCTGGGGAGTAGGGAGTGTCGGCTGCTGGGGTGTGGGTTAGTGTTGGGGCTTCGCTCGGGGTGGGTGGATTGCAGTGTCTCTGGGCTGGGAACGTGGGTGGGGTGTCTGTAATGAGCATATGGGGAGTCGGAGATGGTAGGGGCACGGCGAGGGGAGCTGTGTTAGTGCAGAGAGCGCAGGGATGTGTTGGGAGTATGTGTGTGCCAGGGTGTGTACTGAGGCATGACAGGGTCTGGGATGGGTGCTGGCCTGAGTTGGGGACCGTGGTGGGTGGTGGGATAGGGGCTGCTGGTGTTTGCACTGCAGGGACCTGGGTCCACGGCGCATGGTTTGTGCGCGCGAGTGTAAGTGACAGGGGGTGTGCGTGGTGGAGGACACAGGAGATGCACGGCGGGATGCGGGGGGTGTGCGGTGGAGGACCGAGCGTGTCTCACAGGGGCGCGTGTGTCGGCCCGTGGGGTGTGCGTTGGCAAGACTTTGTGGGTGCAGGGTGGAGGAGCGCACGTCGGAGGGCGGCCAGGCCGGGTGGGG